AGAAATGTGAATGAAATCTTTCACAATCTGCCGCTTGCAGTTACCGAGCATCATACAACACAGCTCATCTCTGAGCTTCCACATTTAGCTTCAGGTCAGGTGACAGGTGTTAAAGCCTTAAGGCGAGGTAACGATCATGCAAACAGCAACTCTCACCGTTCCTTATCTCTTCTACGATGAACGGGTCGAAGCTGATCTTGTCGATGCTCTCCTCGAGGCAGTACGTCTCGTACATGTGCACCACCTCGCCGTGCAAATGCAGCAGCTCTGAGTTGCTCAGCTCCGGACAAAGGATCTTATCGTTAAACTCCTCTGGGGAAAAAAAAAAAAAAGTTTTATACAGTCAGTCTGACACATTTATATAACAGGCTCCAACAGGGACCTCACTGCATGTCTAAGAACTCATAATAATGATAAAAACATTTTCACGCTTGCTGCATGTAAGTGGAGCAAAACTGTTCACAGGATGAGCTGTCTGAGGAGATCAAATGTATGGACTCCTACCCACGGCGAGGCAGAACTGCAGCACATGCACGGCTCCTTCCTGCTTCAGGAAGTTCATGAAACGAAAGAGGAGATCCTGCTGCTCCCTGATCTCTTTCAGCTCCAGCTTCAGCACCTGTAGCACCACACAGGGAGGGTCAGACAAGCTTCAAAAATAAATCTGCGCCACATTCACACTGTGTGGAAACTGATCAGAAAATGTTAATTTTTTTATGAATCACTACATGTAATACAACTTATAAATAACACCTTACGCCAGCCTCCAGACCCTCAAATCAGAGCATCGATTATTATTCAGGCTAAGAACAAAAGGGGATCATGTTTTAGGGATCAACGTTGTGGCTATTTACCATATAAGGTTTATTATTATTGTTATTAGAAACACCAGTTCACTAAATGTATATACACTTGAATTTATTTATTACATTTTAATTTATGAAGTTGGTAAAGCGCTGTTTAAGTTGACTTAAGTTGCTTTAAATAGAAACAATTCCCAGCTCTATCAGGAGAAGTGTGATCAGACCTTGATTCTTAGTTTGAGCTGTTGAAGTCACAGCAGTCTGGAGGAAAAGCTTTTCTCCTGCCCTGTCGCACACTCTGAGGTACTTACAGACGGCTTCTGGCTTCTGATTTGATGCGTTTCTTCGTATTTCTGTAAAAATGGAACCAGTGGAGACGGAGGCTCTGTGGCTGGCTCCGGCTGGACAGGACAGATTTAAAGAGGCCATTAATTCAGAACACTTGACTACAATTAAATGAATTGATTTGAGTATAAAAAAAAGACTCTTCATCTTTGATGTGTTTGTTTTCCATGCTGGACACACTGTATGTTATAGGTCCACTGTGCAGGATTTAGATCACCTACTGGCTGGACTCAGGTCTGATGTTTAGAGCTTTGTTCATAACGGTAAACCTCATCAGACCCCGAAGTCACCCTCAGCCAGTTCAAC